ATAATTGAATTGAAAATCTTTCTACACGTACTATAGTAATGATGTATTTTACATGGATAAAACTTTTCAAGAGATTTTCAACCGTAGAGAAGTGTAGAAATTCAAATACATGTTGTAAAGTTACTGTGTCTCAATCATACTTTAGTATAACTTTTTATAACTGAGCCTGTTTCAAAAATCTATTTTCTTTTGTTTGGTATTTGACAAATCTGGCAGCAGCTGAGCCAGAACCACGCTCCTCACTTCTTAGTGTTTAGCATCGGGGAGCTAATTGACATGACAGGCAACAGCAGTGCTGTGTCCGAGCCAGTCTGCGGCTCGGACACATCGGAGGAGGAGGAGGAGGAGGAGGAGAAGGAGGAGGAGGAGGAGGAGGAGGATCAGCTCTGTGGTGTAATCCCATCGGACTGCTGAGGAGACGCAGAGAGGTGGAGGGTGGAGAGACTTACAGGAGCTTTAACCAGCGATAAACGCTAATCACTGCAGTCAAGTGCAGACACACACACACACACACACAGTAAGTAGTTATTCATAGTCTACACCAGGAGGTCGTCAGACATGGAGGCCAGGCTGGTGAAGCTGAGGCACCAGAGACGTCGTGTTTCTCTTTCGTCAGCATCGTGAAAACAACAAACGTCTTTGACAACAGTCAGAGGGGCTGATGGGAACTTAGTGTGAGGACGCAGCTTGAATCTTTCATCGCAGTCGATTCCAAAGCTGATAAAATGTGTGTCCAGCTTCTTCAACCTACTTTGAATAATTTCCCTCTTCTCCTCTTCTTCCTCTTCGTCTTCCTCTTCTTCCTCTGCCTCCTCGTCATCTCCTCTTGTCTTGCTTTTTCTTTTTGGATCTCCATCTTCTCTTTGTCTCGTCTTCCTCCTCTGACAAATCATCCCTTCTCTTTCTCCTTCCCTTCTCTCCGTCTCCTCTCTTCTGTGCAGGATCGAGGAGGAGTTGGGCGACCAGGCTCGCTTCGCAGGCCATAACTTCAGGAACCCTAGTGCACTGTGAAAACCGACAGATGGACGGATGAATGACTCACACTCACACTCACACACACACACTCACACACACACACACACACACACACACACTCACACACTGACAGACACGACAAACAGGGAATGAGCCATGTACAAAGAAAGATTCATTAAAACACACACGAGCTAAAGAGCCAAGCAAAAAAAAAAAAGACAAAGATTAAATATGCACTGGACTTTAAAGGGAGACGATGCTGTATGCACACACACACACACACACACACACACACACACACACATGCACAGAGTACGCAGATGCAACACACGCTCACACACATGCAGGGGAATATTGTGAAAATACAACATTTATAAGCCAGACATGCACTGTTACTGTAGTTTTAAAGAGGGCAGCGCTGCAAAAATCCTGATTATTGTTGCAACAGCAGAGAGATGAATAAGAAGAGAAATGATAGAATCGTGTGAAGTGAAGGACTGAAAGAGGATAAAATATTCATTTAAAAAAAAAAGAAAACGTAAGAACGATGCCTCTGCAGAGAGAAACACGACTCGGCTGTTTCAGACTGAGTAAAGAAAAACTACACAAACACCTGAACACGTGTGTCACGCTCTCACCTGGACACAGACACCTGCACTCCTCCACTTCTCTCTCCCTCTCTCTCCGTCCACTTTTCTTCTCGTCGAGTCCGATTCTGTTTTTCTTCCTGATGTGATTTTGATTATTTGTCCTTCATGCTTGAATCTGTCTGAAGAAAAGAAATGATCTAAACCTTTGTTTCTTCGGTTCCTCCTGAATGTCCGTAGAATTAGCTGTGTTGAAAAAGAAGAATACGTGAACGAACAAAACGCTTGTCATTGAAAATAATGTGAAAACGTGTGAAATAATAAAAGATGGTAATTTACAATTTCAATCACAGTTAAAAATGTGTTGGTCTGTTTTTGTGTGTCTGTGTTTGTTGTGCAGTGATTCCTCACGAACTTCATGCGAAACACAAACACGTTAGATTTTTCTTTTATTATTGTAAAATGAAAAACCATCACAATAAGTAGCTCATTAACAAGTTTAAGTCAAATACTTGTAACTTACCTGAGTTTTCCATTAACACGTTAATGAACACTTCATGGTCCATGTCCCATCTGCTAACATGGCTGAGGGGGGGGGCGTATGACTTATACTGCAAGATGGTTTGGCTTCATCTCATGTCGTCCATCTTGTTTTTTCAGTGTTTTCTTTGTGGGAAATCAAGATTTTAACAACAGAGCATCGTTTCCTTGCAGAAGTTTCTCTACGACACTGTTCTGCAGAGACGCCGTCATGGAACCGTGGGATTCGACTGCGGCCGCACTGAAGCGTTCACATTTTAAATCAAACAAACTGGATGGAAAGGCTGACGACTGAATCGTAGTTCAAGTCGTCTCATTTTGCTCGTGTTGCGTGAAACAGACGTTCGGAAAAACACGGAACTTCTCAAGCGGAAGTGAAGGCACCTGTCGATCAAGTCGTGGTTCTGCACATATTTCAGGGAGGTCGAGTTGTGACTGATGAGAGGAACGAGGGCGACCGCGTTATTTCATCCAGACAAAAACACAACACGTCATTCTGAAATGACAAAGGCTTTGTTTCCTGAAGTCTCAGTTTCAAAAGCTCGGAACATCAGATCTTTCTCCAGAGATTCAAGATCCGGAACAGCGAATACAATACAAAATCAAAATGATCCTTTTCCTTATTAGTTTATTTATTACATTGGTCATAAATACAGAGTTCAACAAACAACAGTAACGTGCAGAGTTAATCTATTGTGTCTATGGGGAAACACTTCACAATAAAAGCCCAGATTCTAGTATTACATAATAAAGCTTCTTCTTATATTTTGTGTTTCGGTAAATTCTGTCCGGAGCTTTTGTTGTTATGAACAGTGAGAGCCGTTCATCGGTAACACAACATCACAACAGTTAATCAACCTGTTTAAAAACACACAACAAAAGCTTTTCCTCAAATTATCAGCAGGAAACTGAAAACTTCACCGATAGAGACGTTTCGTATCAGATCTGTCCTCAACAATCCTTGTCCCTTTAAAGACTGAAAATCAAGACTGAGAATAAAGTTTAAATTCTAGAAACTTCTATTTAACCTCTATATAAATATGATAAATAAAATAAATGCAAAATTCCCACAAACGACAGTAAAACAAGAGAAAGCTGTGACACTGGTTTACCTAACGCCCTGCAGACACACGGACGTGAACACGTGGCGACCTGAAGGGAAACGTGTTTCTGGGATCGGTCCTGATGGAACCTGCGTCTGTTACGCACGTGCGTTGATGATGTCGACAAACTCTGGTTTCAGAGAAGCTCCGCCCACCAGGAAACCGTCCACGTCGCCCTGAGACGCCAGCTCTCTGCAGTTCGCTGCCGTCACCGAGCCTGAAAACAGAAACAGGACTGATTCGGATCCAGACGGTCGGTGGGTCCAGTGACGAGTCTCGTTTACAAAATGTGTCTCTCAGATTTCACGGCTTCAGTTTGATAAACCAAAGAGTTTCGGGTATCGGCGCCGCCATCTTGCACTGGTGACGTCATTTGGAGTCGACCCAGCGCGACGCCACCCGTTGGTTTGTCAGCTGATGTTCTGAAGCCTCAGTCTGACGTTGTGTTCAGCGCCATCTTGTTTTTTTCAGACCAGAAGTAACCATATTTGGAGGAGTAGGGGGTGGAGCCTGACTGAGAGCTGGGGGACACTGCACGCCCACACACACACACACACTTGCCACCTTCACCTATTGGATGGTACTAGCTGTCAGTCACACAGTATCCACGCCCACACACATGCATGAGAGGCTTTATGGTCTCAATGTGAAGAATCGTCACTGACCTCCGTAGATGATGCGAACAGAGTCGGCCACGTCGTCAGAGACGTTGGCTCTAAGCCACGCCCTCAGCTTCTCATGGACCTCCTGAGCCTGGACACACACACACACACACACACACACACACACACACACACACACAGTTGGAACATGCAGTTTTTCTTTGATTGTGCAGCTGTAGAGAAATGTTTAGTTTTTATTTGCGGTTATTTGGGTTTTGAATGAAAAATGAAATCTCGTGGTGTACGTGTGTGTCTGAACACGTGTGTGTCTGAACACGTGTGTGTCTGAACACGTGTGTGTCTGTTACCTGCTCAGGTGTCGCTGTCTGCCCCGTGCCGATCGCCCACACAGGTTCATACGCCAGCACCACTTTCCCCCAGTCATTCACATTCTCTGCAACACAAACACACAAAAACACAAAAACACAATTCATTTCCCGACCTTTGACACGACAACGTATCCATGACAACACGACACTGAGGTAAAAATGACCAGAACGTCCTGAAGTCAAGACGAGCGTCTCTCTGGAGACACAGTTCCATTTTAAATCAGCGAGGAGACGACGTCAAGTGCACGAGACGTAACCGTGAAATATGTGATCAACAAAATCTAACATCTTAACAGACAGCGGAGGGGACAAAGACAATAATACTCATTAGTGATTATTATACGGTTGGTTTATTTACTTTTTATAACATAAACAAATCTAAACTTTATTTATGTTTTATAGAAAAGTGGAGTCTGGTTGTTTTGGGGTAAAACAAAAAGAAAACAAGAATATGAAAGAAATAAAGTTATGAACATTTTGAAAAATATACTGGAAAAAAGACGAACGAGTTCAATAATAATAATAATAATAATGATAATAATAATAAGGTATACCTGCGATCACCTGTGTCTGAGCGTACACAACCTCTTCAGTGGTTCCGGCCTCTCGCTCCTCCAGCTTCTCCCCGATGCAGGCGATCACACGCAGACCGCTCTCCAGAGCGTGAGCCACCTGAGAACCGTGAGTGACACATGTCATATCGGCCGCCTCTTTCTGATGGACCGCCACTCTTTACAGGAGGCGTCTCACCTTCTGTCCAATCAGATCGTCGCTCTCTCCGAACACGTGGCGGCGCTCAGAGTG